AGCATGCATACATCGGGTTTATATAAGAATACAAGGGAATACGAAAAGACATAGACTAGCCATGTACTCTAAGGGGTACATTCCCTTATTGCAGCAAGTTCAAACCGTGCGACGCGGGAACCCGTTTCAAACCTGTTCCCGCTCTTTTCACTTCGAATGTTTCTGCCTTCATTGGTATTGATCAGACGGTTACCAGTGTCGCTTCGACTCTTCTGACTCCTCGGCTTCGTACACTTTAGAGTCGGTCCTTGTAGCATACAGAAATGCCTTCTCGTAAAGTTTCATATCGTAACAACCTCCAATTACGGTTGTGAGGTGGCCAACAGTCGCGACCGTTGACTTTCCGCGACTGTTGAATTTTGCATGCGTGCTCTTATATGAGCTAACGCGGTACTGGTACAATGCGCTGCTTTGATATGAAGCGGTGTGCTAAGGGAGAACCTTCGGGAATGTTTATTAACCCTTGGTTATTCCAACACTCCATGCAGTACAAACCCGGTTAGGAAAATGAAATTTCCTTACACGCAGCTTCGTTTTTTCATTAATTCTGCGCACTCCTGAATTGATAACTCGACACAATGGCGCAATCCTGAATTGCACTCGTAACACATACAATCACCATTGGTCCCATTCCTGTGGTCCTCGTGCGTAGTCCACACTTGTGCACACAATCGAGATCCGTGGTGCTGGGAGTCTGCCTTCGTTAGGAGGAAATTTGTGGTTCACTGATTCCAGCCAATCACATAATCACGAAGCACATATCCGCTCCCCCCTTCCCATGGTCCGGCACCAGGTGGGCATACCTACGTGGCATAACTTTCAGAGAGTGGATTTCGGCACGTGCGGTAAGACATCACTATTGCGCCATGTCATACTCCCTTCGTTGACCAGCGCTGGAGTCTTTTCGAGGGCGTGTTTGTTCTTACTTGATCATGGAAATTTCGGACCTCTTCAAACTTTAAGTGGTCTGAAGTGCTTTTGATAAGTAGAATGTATTAGGAACCAGACGAAATCGCTGAATACGATGTCTTTGTAAACGAGCTGTCCAAGATCCAAGACTCACCACAAACAAAGTTTCATCTGTTTGTTCACTCAACTGACAGGTGGCGTCATCGCAGTGCGAGTCGCTGATTCACCGCGGTTTGCAAGCCACTTCTAATCCAACCAACCAACCCGCGAAAGGCATCTTTTCTCCATCCGACCATCCCAACCAACAACTACTCCCGCTGCCGCAGTCTGATCGTGGGGAGGTTGTTGTGAGCAGTGGCACTCTTTCAAGCTCCGCCATTCCTCTTTAGGTGAAGCACACTACCTTCAGTTCCTCAGCCAATAGGCCTTCTTTCAGTCACCTACTTTGGTCAACTCCGGCTTCAAGGAGCACTGCCCACAGCTCATCAATGGCCAATCAAGCAGCTACACTGGTGGGTCTCCACCGATGCCACTCAAACGCAATCTACCACTACATGTCGCACGTTCTTGTAGCAGCTTAAGACGCGCCATTGCTGACGTGGTTTGCTTCTTTGTGCCCATTGTGGTTCTTTTATCCTACGGCTCCCCTTCGTTTCCCTTCAGATGGGCACCACGCTCCCCGCCCTGCGCGTAGCAGTGGCGCCCACGTCGTCCTCAGCGCGGATAGCAGTGTCGCCGGTGCGCGCGGCGCTGAGCAGCAAAGTGCTGGAGAGCAAGTCGTTGGGCGAGCTGCGGCAACTGGCGAAGGAGCGCGGCATGCGCGGCGACACCAAAGCAGAACTCGTCAAGCTCCTCGCGTACGTCGTCCACCCCAAACTCGCTCCTGGCTGATTTGGTTGTTTCAGTCTGCCGTACACACACCACTCCTCCATATCCTTCCACGCCTCCCCGCTCTCTTCCTTCCTTCCTCGCTTTCTCTGCGTGCTCTTACGCTACAGGTCCAGCTACGCTGCAGCGCCCACGGGTAACGGTGCGGTGGCGGCGAAGGCGCAACCTGCAGTGGACCCGCAGCTGAAGAAGCAGCTGGAGGCCATGCCCATGGCGCAGCTGCGCGCGCAGGCGCGCAGCAAGGGCGTCTACGGCGGCAGCAAGGCCGAGATTGTCGCCGCCCTACTGTAAGATTCTTAATCGCGCCCAATCTTCCACTTTCGACTCCATCGATCTTTGAGCCCACACCATCTCCCGCCCCTCCGCTCCTCTCGGCTGTCCGATCCGGCTTGCGCATCTCTGCCAACCCCATCTGCACTGCTGCTCTCCTTTCGCTCCGACGAGCGCCATTTCTCTTCCTTTGATTCAACCCTTTCTCACCTCCTTGGTCTCTCCCCTGAACCAGCGCTGCGGGCGCAGCGCCAGCAGCAGCCGCGTCGTCAGCGCCCGCCTACTCCAACGGAGCAGTGGCTTCCGCGCCTGCTGCGGCGGCGCCTGTCGTCGCCGTGCCTTCATCGTCGGACTTGGCGCGGCAGCTGCAGACGAAGCCGCTGGCGGTGCTGCGCGCGCTGGCGCGCCAAAAGGGGCTGCGCGGCAACACCAAGGAGGAGCTCGTCGCCGCGCTCGTGTGAGTCACCGCTCGCGCGGATTCGATCGCCGTCCACCCCAATTAGCAGCGTCACGTGCCCCACACACCACACCTGCTTCCTTGGTCGCTCGGCTTCCCATGTGGTTGCTTGTGGTCGCATCGCTATCTTTTCACTCCACCGCTCGATCTGTCTAATGGCCCGCCACGCTCCTCCCTCCCAATCCTTCTCCCCCCAGCTCTGCCGCCGCGCCCGCTGTTGCATCACCGGCGCCCGCCGCCTCTCCCGCCGCTGCCGCTCCCTCGCCTGCCGCCTCTCCCGCCGCCGCCGCGCCGGCTGCCGTGAACGTTAGCGCGCAGGCGCTGGCACGGCAGCTGCAAACTCGGCCGCTGTCCGCGCTGCGCGCCATGGCGAGCGCTAAGGGCATCACGGGGGCCGCCGCGCCGAAGGATCAACTGATCCGCGCACTCGTGTAAGAGAAACGATGGGTGATACGTGGGGGGTTTGGTGGGGGTAAAATTGGGGAAATGGGATCCACACGTCCGCGAGCTACGAGAATGAACCCTGCTTGCATCGTCCGCGCGTCCGCGCACTCGCAACCCCCCGTGTCCCAACGCCCCTATTCCTACTCCCTCTCTGCCCGCTACGTGCTGCCCGCAGCGCCGCAGCCACGGCGACGGCGGCGAACGTGACGGAGGTGAAGGCCGCCGCATCCGTGCGCGCGTCGGAGCTGCAGAGCAAGCCGCTGTCGGAGCTGCGCACCATTGCGCGCGCGCGGGGCATCCGCGGAGACACCAAGGCGGAGCTCGTTAAACTGCTGTACGTGCCCAGCGCCCCCGCCCCCTTCCCCTCGCACCTTATCCCAGAAACTCCCACCGCGTCTTCTCTTATTTGCGCTTCAATTTCACTCACCCTCCTCCTATTTCCGTTTCTCCTCCCTCGTCTCCCCCCCTCTCCTTTCCCCCGTCCGCGCCCCCTGTGGCAGCACGGCGGAGGACGTGGTGCTACCGCCACTGCAGAGCGCGAGCATGAGCTTGCCCTTCCAGTCCGACCTCCCTGCAGGCGGCACCACCGCCATCCTACCCGTGCAGGTGCGCCCTCCGCCTCTCTTCCTCCTCGCCTCGCCCCCTCCCCGTCTTCCCTCCCGCACTATAACAGCTGCCCCCGCCTACCCGCCTCCTTCCCATCTTTTCCAGTCTCTCCTATCCTTACCTCTTGCCCCCTGCCATCTTCCATACGCCTCCATCCCCCCGTCCTCCCTTTTCCCTCCTTCCTAAACCCCCCACCCTCTCCCTCACCCCGTGCAAGCAGGCAGCGTCAGTGGCAACACAGTCAGCGGCGATGAGTGAGGCCATGGAGATGCTGCTGGGGCGCGCGGAGGGGGAGGCGGAGGGCAGTGTGGCGGAGCAGGCAGCGTTCCTGCGCAACGTGCTGGTGGCGGGCATAGGCGTGGCCGTGCTGCCCCTCATCCTGCCCGTGCAGATGTCCTCCACTGTCGTCGCCACCGCTCCCACTGTCACTGCGCCCCAGGTATGCACATGGCGCCACGGGCTGCATGCGGGTGTGTGTGACACAGGGGCAGGGTGCGACAGGAAGTGGAAGTGAGTGGAGAAGCTGTGATGTGCTGTGTTGGGCTGATGAGCAACTGTGGGGTGGGATGGTAATAGTGAGCTGAGAGCCATGAAGGAGAGGAGAGGCCCTGTGTCAAGGACCAGTTGAAAGGATGGTCAGTGGTTCATAAGAAAAGCTTGATGCATTACGAGGATGAGCACCTGAAGTATGGTGCAAGAGGCTGCAATGAAACAGGTGTGAGCTGTCAGCTGTCACACACCACTGACAACATCTCCCATTTTCTTCCCTACTGCAGGTTGTTGTGCCACCTCCTGCCGAGCCTGAACCGGAGGTTCGGGCGCTGTCTGCCGAGGAATTTTGCGCATCCCTGCCGTCGTCTCTGCTGTCCCCACAAGCGGCCAAGTTCTGCCAAGCTGTCAAGGACATTGGCCTCTGAACACAGGCCACTCCACGCCTCTCCACCACACCAGCGTGCTGCCATGACTTACCCCCGCGCTTAGTTGCACTCTCATCCCTGCAAGGCTCAAGCCTGTGATATTCAGCTGGCACTTCCTCTCTTTCAGCATAATGTACTCGGAGTTAACTCCAGCAGGAAACAAAGTGGAGCTGATTGTGTGTTGATTTAGTAATGTTTGAGATTATTTATCAAACATAAAGTGTGACCATTTGGCACTGGTCCAGTGTGTGTGTAGTAATTGATGGGCATGAGGAGCAGTGACCATTCTACCGTACATGGGCCAGCAATTGAGCAGCTCAGACAAAATGCAAAACAGCTAGCACACCAGGTTGAAGGCCTTGGTTTGGCAATCTGGTTATTTCCTATTAGTGGTAGAACTGTCTGAGATTCTAAACAGCCAAGTTTGGGTAACAACCCAGTATTGGATGACACACCACAACCTTTGCGAACCAGCAGAGCACTGGTGCCACTGCCAACGGTAGGTTACATCACACAATAACTGAATCCTCATCTATGCATGCAGGCAGCACTGCATCCACATCTGCGACCCCCTTCCCCTCTTCTTCCCCAACAGCAGCACCGGGCAGTGCGCCTACAGTGGCAGTGGTGGCCTCATCGGGCTGGCGTGCAGGGTCTCCTCCTGGACGTTTACACTGTGAGGCATGTGCACTCACACCCATGCTTGGGGGCAGTGTGAAGGGGTTGGGGGCCGTGTGTGGAGAGAGTGTGCTTTGTGCGACGGGTGCGGTGGGTGTAGCCGCTCCTCCACTGCCCATGGCCAGGACACATGCGCGCAGCGCTGCCACCTCCTTCTCTAGCTCCTCCTTATGTGCCTCACTCTGCTGCATTTGCTGACTCAGAGTAACCACTTGCTGACTCAGGTCAGCATTTTCCCGCTGCAGCGATGAAGTCTGTCAAGTTGGAGAAGAGGGAGTACACGAGAGCAGAGGCATGATTTGGAGATGCACTGGTGAGCATGTAAGACTAGGGAAAGGAACAGGCCAGATTTTGCTGCTCGGTAAGAATCAGGAATTTGGGATGCATGATGCGCCAGATTATGAAAAGAGCGAGAGCAAGCGAGGAAGGTGTGTGTGGAGTAGCCAGCGCTCACCAGGACCTCCAGCTCCTGCAGGCGGCGCTGCCGCTTGATTCGTGCCCTCTTGGCCGACTCGCGGTTGCTCTTCATCCTGTTCACGCGCACCCAGAACCCATGGGGACGTGGGGCGAACACGTTTGGCAACGCAAGGGATGAGTAGAAAGGGTCCGTGCGCTTGTGCGTCCAAATGTAAAGCACACCTGCAGGCACACTCACCTTCTCATTCGCCTGCTCCATTCAAGAGCGAAATCATCGCTGTTCGCCCCTGCCACCTCCGTGTCCTCTGCTGCCGCACTGCCACTTCGTGCGGTAACCATGCCATGTCCTCCCAATGACCCATCCATAAACGCTCCATCTTCCATGCCTGTGTGCCCCCACGCGTCGTCCACATCATCCCCATCACTGCCACTGCTCGCTCCTCCCTCTCCTCCCACCCTGCCTCTTCCCAAGATCCCGCTCCTTACTCCTATACTTCCTGGACTCTTCATCGCCTTCCCAATCGTACCCACGCCTCGCCCAATCGAGCTTGAACCCATCATCCCCATCTCATGTCTCCATTTCCCTCCTACCTCCCCCATACCCCCTCCTCCTGCCTTCTCGTCTTCCCCTTTACCACCCTCTCCCGGCCCCACCACATCATGTATCCGCACACTGACACCGCCATTTTGATTCGGCTCTGCCCCTACATGCATGCCGCTCTGCCTAACAATTGCTGCCACAAACCCTCCCCTTTCTCGTCCCGCCTCCTCCCGCCCTTGTGCCGCTGACCCCTCCAACACACCATCTTGCATACTATCACCATGGGCCTTCCCATGTTGAGTCGCCAGCTGTTGCCCCGTTCCGTGTAGGCGCTGCTGGCCTTGCTGCTGCTGCTGGCCTTGCTGCTGCTGCTGGCCTTGCTGCTGCTGCTGGCCTTGCTGCTGCTGCTGGCCTTGCTGCTGCTGCTGTTGCCCTATTTGCTGCTGTAGGCCCTCGCCTCTAAACTGGGCCAGTGCGGAGAAGTCACCAGCAGCGAGCAGAGCTTGCAGCGCTATCATTTGCTGTGCCATGTGCTCCTTGTCGCTGTGCCACGCACGGCCCGCCTCACCCTGCTCTTCCGCCGCTTCTCCCTGCTCGCGCCCGTCTGCCGCCATGGCTGCCGCCCATACCTCCATCTGCGCGCCCTTATCCACTCCACCATCGCGTGCGCTCATCCCCCCCTCCTCCTCCTGCTCCCGCAGGCCCAGCTGCTGCATCCACAGCTGCTGCTGCAGCGCCCCCTTCCCCACATGACTCGCCATCCGCGGCTCCACGACTCCCGATGCCTGTCCCCTTCTCACTCCCCACGAAGACGAGCATGCCGTCAACCCGTTTGCGTGCGTCTGCGCCGCTCCTGGCACCAGCATACGGCATGCGCCCATGCCCTGCGCCATCACATCGCCTCCTCCTGCCGCCATCCATTCTCCCACGCCTCGAACCGCCCTGCCGATTGATGTTACATGCAGTCCTTGCGCGGCCGAATTCGCCATCGTATTTACTCCTGTAGCTCCTAGTACTACTGCCCTTTGACCCCTGCCTTCAACTGCCGAGAGTGCGGTTGCTGGCAATTGTGGATCAAGTGCACCCATGACAGCAGCCCGCTCAGGTGGTCCCGCGCCCGCTACAGAAGCACCGGCACCCGACCGGTTATTGGGCTGAGCTCTAGAAGCGGCTCCGCTAGGCCCCACCTGCACTGGGCCGGCAACCACCTGGAAAGCGCAGCTGGGGCTAGAAGGAATGCCAGCCTGTTCCAGTAATGTCGGGCGCGCTGCTTGGGTGCTGCCACCGTGAATTGCAATCGTGGTCCCCGGCGATCGCTGGGAGGGGCTGTGGCAAGCAAACGGAAGGCTGGAGGCGGTGATGAAGCGAGAGAGCGAGTCCAGAGACGACGCGCTGGTCGATGTCGCGGCGCCTGCTGCCGTCCACATCCCCGCAGCTGCGGAGGCAGCAATCTCGGGACAATTGGAGAGGAGCATCGCAGCAACGCCAGTATTGGAATGCATGCGTTCTGCCTTCCCACCCATTCCGAAGCGGTTCAGCGGTTGCAACGTAGGCAGGCGAACCGCCGAGCCTGGAGCCAAGGTCGCGCTGAGAGATCCCCGCTCAGCCGAAGCCCGGTCAACCACACGCGAGAAGTCCGGGATGCGGAATCCCGAATCAGTTGCATACTTGCTAATACCTTGATCCCTGCTCCTCATTCCAGGACCCGCAGTCAATGCATCGCACAGCTCCGCACCCAATTCGGCTGCAGTGCCACACAACACAGCTCCATCAACAGACTTCGGAACCTCGCGTGCTCGTGGTACTGTCGAGGCGGGAGTATAAAAGTCGCCAACTAGTCGCCGGTGCTCCTCTTCCACGGCTGCCAGCGCTGCGGCCGCGAGGTTCTCTGACAATCGACTTTGCATAGAGGTTGACGTGGTAGTTTTACTGGGTTTTGGAGACTCATGCTGAGTCGGCCGTGACATGGCATTACTCAGTGACCACAACTGATTCTGGTGACATTCGACGATCACGAATAGCAACACTTGTTTCAGCTTGGAACGGCCGCTTCACATATGTGAAAACGCTCTTACTACGTTCAACCTCACTACATCGTAACACACGGGTAGGACTGGCAAGGCGCCACGGCAGTCGAAGGTCGAATAATCAAAGCCAGTAAGATCCACGCTAATTCTCTCTCCTTCCCACGAAAGCGACTGGGGGAGGAAGAAATGGCAGTGACCAAACCAGGCGCGGAACGCCATTGGAAGAAGTCCAGTTTTATTGGCGGGCAAGCCGCGGCCCGTGGGCAGATGTTAAAGTGTCATTGACGGGCACAACCTTTGCATGGCCTAAGATCAGAGAGGGCGGGACGGAAGACGGAAACCCTCGAAAGGTGACCGTCCCAGGAACAAGGTGGACAGTGGCCGGCGAACAGACCAGTGTACTGTAGTGTGTCACCTTGAACTCGTGGACACCTTGCATTTGGGCCTACCCGCTCGTTGCTGCGCTGGGCAAGGTGTGAGAAATCAAATGCGCTGTCGAAGCGCGATGTTCTCGACGTGGTGTGCGGCTTGCCACAGTGTGGCTGGGGTGAGTGCTTGCTGGCAGAAGTTGGGGGCGGGTTGGACGGCGTGTGCAGCGTTGGCAAGTCGAGCCCTCTGAAGCCATGCAGCAATTATGAATGGATGGTGTTCAGGAAACTTCCCCCAATAGAGACACGGACAACCTTTCGCCGCGTCAGGGTGACCCAATGACGAAGTAGATGTTCGGTCCAGCGCACTCTACAGGCCTATCAGGGCCACACAAGGGGACGCACATGGCGCCTTGGCTTGGTGTGAGTTTTTTTACGGGGAAAGTATATCCCAGATCCTTAGTTTCTGATTTCTCTCAAATTTAGTCCTAAGTTTACTAAAAAAGTGCGACGTTATGGATTTATGTTCACGCGAGGCCCACATTATGTTCAAAACTGGTCCTGCGGGGCAAACATTCGGACACGTGTCAATTTTCGCACAATAATTTGTTTTACGGGGTAACAACATAAAACCCCTCTGGAAACAGGACAAATTTTCAGGAGGGATCAACCCTAAACACCAAGCGGGTCCCGTGTTTAGGGTTGATCCCTCCCGAAAATGTGTCATGGTTCCCCTAGAGGTTATGTTTTCTGCCCCGTCAAAAACAATCCGGTACGAAAATGACACGTGTCGAGAAGTTTGCCCCGCAAGACCAGTTTTGAACATAATGTGGGCCTCGCATGAGCAAAATTCCATAACGTTGCACTTTTTTTATTAATCTTGGGACTAAATTTGAGAGATTTTTGAAACGAAGGAGTTGGCATGAACTTTCTCTTTTTTGCGGCAAAGCAACCTATCGCGATGGATTGGAAATATTTTTAGGGTTTTGATTTACAATCTGTCCTTACGGTACATTCCTATCTCGTGTCAGATACGAAGTGGAGGTTCGGATGGAGGTTCGGAAGACCCGATGTGGCCCACTTTGGGTCTTCCGAACATTGATTTGCCAGAGTTCCAGGTCACTTCGGGTCTTCCGTAACTTCACTTCGTGTCTGACCTCATGTCAGACACGAGGCAAGAATGTACCCTTATTCTCCAGTTTTCATAAAACAAACCAATCAGGTATTCGACGGACCTAATTCAGAGTTGCTTGGCATGTTGAGAATCAGGACGGTGTGGATGAGCAGGGACTCGTTATGGTAATGCGACTTTTATTTGGGGGTTCCGCTGTTTGGGGATGCGAACGTTTTGCCGTAGTACGTCCAAATTTGTGCGGTGTGGGCGAGGAGCTCAGACTCCTGATATTGGTGTCATTTCATATAAAATGTTACAATTGTTTCACTATTGACGTAGTTAGGAGCTTGCTTTCAGTAGAAAATACTGCTTCGAATTGTGTTCATTGTTCTTAAACATGCGCTTGAGCTTGAATATTCTCGAAGGTACATGACATTCAAAGTTAACCCGTCGATTTTCTACAAGCCGGGAGAGCTCTGCAATTCTAATGATATAGATCTTTGTCAGAATAGGAACGAAGGAATGATTGACTAGCAAGCAGTTTGGGTACAAGTAGGAAACCTAGAAATGTTGTACCCTATATGAACTACCCCACTACAGCCTACACAGACTATAGCATATAAGTTTGACACACCCCCATAGGCAAAGTGAGGGAGAACAAGTGGTCACAAGACCGGTCAAGAGAGGCAAAGCAAGCTCAGGGTGGATCACGACGTCACCACGCAGTCCGAGCACAAGCAAATGGCCACAAGGCCAGTTCACATGCATAGTTATATAAAGGAGAACAAGCAATACATTGATCACAACCTAGCAAGTGTAAACATGCAGGTATAAGTGTAGAGATCACAGTACAAGCAGAGTCAAGAAGTAAGCAAGTGAGGCACAGTAGGCACAAGGCCTAGAACAGTACAGAAACGCTGATGATCACAAGGCTGGAGTGCCTTGGTGAAGACATCAGCAGTGTTGGCCTGAGTGGCCACGTAAGCAAGACGAAGCTGACCACGCTGCTGCAACTCTCGAGCAAGGACGTAGCGCAGAGCGATGTGCTTCGTTCTGTGCTCCAGTCTGTGCTCCTGACACAAGGCAATCATGGCCTTGTTGTCGACGTACAGCACTGGAGGAGAACGAGGCAGCTCTCCCAGGTCGGTCAGCAGGTAGGTGAGCCAGCGTAGCTCCTGTGCAGCCATGGCCCCTGCGTAGATCTCAGCCTCACAGCTGGAGCTGAGAACAGAAGAAGAGCGGGTAGACCGCCAAGAAACAGAGCCGGAGCCAAGGCTGAAGGTGTAACCCTGTGACGACCGCTGCGTAGCCAAGTCGTCAGCCCAAGAAGCGTCTGCGTGACCAGTGAGGACAACTCTAGCCCGTCCTCCAAGCACGAGCCCCATGCCCGACGTACTGCACAAGTAGCGCAACACCCTCTTAGCGGCATCCATGTGCTCCTTCCTGTGACGGCCAGGAGCGACATAGCGTGCTAGGATGCTAAGAGGGTATGCAAGGTCAGGTCGAGTGCAGGTCATCAGGTACATGAGGCAGCCCACAAGCTCTGGGTACGGGCCACTCGGCTCTACGGACTCGTCCGAAGGTGGAGCTGAGAGCGAGTGACCGGTAGGCAGAGGAGTGGACTGAGGCGAGGAGTACGTGAAGCGGAAGCGCTGAAGGACCTGCTGCACCATGTGTGACTGAGTCAGGGTAATGGTGCGCTCTGCTCTGTCCCGGGTGATCCGCAAGCCAAGATAGCTTGTCAGTTCACCCAGGTCTGTGCACGTGTGTCTCTTCTGCAGTTCCGACTTCACGTGGGCGAGTCCCTCAGTGTCAGCAGTAGCAAAGACCAAGTCGTCTACGTACACGAGAACGTAGAACGGCGGCAGAGTGGTGTCGGTGCGTAGAAACAGCGACGGGTCAGCAGTAGAAGGAGCAAACCCAAGAGCAGCAAGAGTAGTCCTCAGTGTGTCGTGCCACTCACGGGGTGCCTGGCGGAGACCGTAGACTGGCCGCCGGAGGCTCCACTGGGTACCAGGAGGAAACGACCCAGTGAAGCCAGGTGGGCGGCGCAGCCAGATCTCCTCGTGCAGGCTGCCCTGTAGGAAAGCAGTGCTGAAGTCAAGAGAGTGGAGCTCGTAGTCACGCTGAGCGGCGACGTGCAGCAGAACCCGAAGAGTGGTCATCTTCGGGGTAGGGGAGAAGGTCTGGAAGAAGTCAACTCCCTCACGCTGACTGAAGCATCGTGCAACGTAACGCACCTTGAAGACAGGCGGAGAACCCGGCGGCCGCTTCACCCTGAAAATCCACATGCCACTGACGATGTTCGCCCCAGGTGGGGGAACCTCGTCGACGTAGGTGCCTGTGGACTTCCAGGAAGCCATCTCTGTGTCCATGGCTGTCTGCCACTGAGAGGAGTAGGGACCCTCTATCGCCTCTGCGTAAGAGCGCGGGGTCGGGATGTCTGGTGCATCCGGGTCTCCCTCAGGGGCAATCAGCATGGACACGAGATGAGGTAAAGCAGCGGCAAAGCACTCAAACTCCTCCTGTCTGTCCTCAAGGACGTCCGTGCCAAGAGCACACTCACCCCCGACGGACGGAGGACAGACAGACTCAGACTCAGACTCAGCAACAAGACTAGCGGCGTAGTCTAGACGACAGGCGGCAGCAAAGTCAACAAGCTCAGCAACTAGAGCAGACGTAGCAGTGGACTCAAACGAAGGGTCAGTGACAACAGTGGCGAGGAAACGCGTGACAGTGGGACTAGCAGCACGAAGGGAGTCAGAATCTGGGTCCGGACCGTCAGGAAGAGAGGACGCAGGAGGAGACGGCAGAGGGACACGCTGTGGAGCAGTGGAAGGACGCAGAGTCATATAGTGAGTGCCAGGGACAGGAGGAGGACGCTGATGCGGAACACGACCAGTGCGGACAGCGCGAACAGGCGACTCAGGACGAGACTCAGGCGACGCAGGACGAGACTCAGGCGCACGACGCTCCGTAAGACCTCTAGTCGGTCCAGAGTAAGGAGAAGGACCAGGCAGTGGAGAGGCTGGCAGTAACTGCGACTGCGACTGGACAGGCGGTGGACTCAGTAAGGGCGGAGGAGGAGGACCAGTAGAAAGCGGTAGGCCAAGAACCTGCTGAAGGAGCGGAACGTAGTACGGCCGCGGCCGCGCAGCGCCTCCAGAAACAGCAGAGACAGCACCAGT